GGCACTGGTGTTGAAGACAGCAGGGTAGCGCAGTTGCAATGGTGTGGAGCAGAGGCAGCACATGGGATCATCAGAGAGGAATTCAGTGGAGTTGGACAACCCGTGTTTTACACACTGCCATGCTGCATCCTGGATGTGCCACCACTACCGCCATGTCCCTGTTGAGCTTCTACATTCCATTAGGAAACAACAACGCAACCTTGCACGCTGCCATAGCAGCTTCTCCTCTGGCTTCCCAGCCAGGCTGCTCCTGAAAGCACTGCCAGCAACGGTGGAGGGCTGCTCCTCACCCCCTGTCTAGCTCCCAGTACTACTTAATATTTTTTTAACCATATTCACAGAAGCACAGGATAAAGAACAGCTGAGGAAGCAGCAGGCTGGGCAGCAGAAGTGATGCCTCAAGTTATTTCCTTGCATGGGAATACCTCATGTGAGCACCGGAGCCCTGCGGGAACGATGGATGCCATGCACTAGGAGGGCTGTGGTCTTCTGAACTAGTGGTTTCTTGGAGGCACTGCCAAACACCTTGTTCTACCCCAGGTAGCACAGAAAAATTTTCACCTAATCTGTCTCTGTTGTTGTTTCCTAAATGAAAGGCAGGTGAGCTTCTGCCCTGAGCGTTACTGCTGCTGCTGCTTTGACATCGCTGCTGTGAGAGTCACACACCACAAGAAGCCGCCTCGACCAGGGCGCTGCGCGGCCAGAGACACAACCATCTGCGGCCAGATTCTGCAGCTGAACCTTCCCTTCAGCAAAACAGCAAGGAGAACAGCATATCAGCAATACTGCACATCTTGCCCACGTTCTGTCATCTTAGCAGGGCCTGCCACGGCTTCTCCTCAACCCGGAGCTTCACGCACTTTCTGCTGCCCAGAGGGAGGCAGAGGAGGCTGGGAGCACTGAGGAAGAGCAGGAGGAAACTGCCAGGCTTACAAGACAAGGAGAAATAACACACATACCTGCCGGATCATGCAATTGGAGACCGACATAACAAATTAAAATCAGGGCAGTCATGAAGGATAGACGAGTAACCTTTCTCGCAGCATCTAAGTTTGAGGGCCAGTTGTCTAAGCTCCTGCTCTCACTTTCCTCGCGCAGGCTCTGTCCTTGCTCTGATTTCTTCTGTGTTCATCTTCCCCTCGCCCTACTGCTCCCCCTGTGCCCGCCTGCGCGCTGGCAGAGGTCCCCGTCTCGCGCCCACCACCCCTGTGCCCAGGGAGCATCACGGAGCACACGACACCACCTTCAGCTGCGTTACCTGCACTCACTTCATTTCTTTCAAAGGCTGAGAAACCGCCCCAAATTTGGGAATAACAGGCACACTCCTGATACCACAGCAGCTCTGCTGCAAAATTCAGACCCTTTTTACCCGAAAAAGAGCAGTCGGGTACTGTGGCTGAAGGATCGCGGCTCTGCTTTGTTTCAAACACAGCAAAACCAACAGCCCTCCCCATCTCCCGCTCAGACCCGGCTGGAACTTTTATTTTTTTAATTCACCCCGAGGTAAAAACTCCTCATGGAATGGAAAATTTCAGCTCAAACAAATTTAAAATGTGGCAAAATTACAAGCTAATGGGAACAGTATCCGAACTAGGGGGTGCTGGACAAGTCTAACTAAACACAGCACCGGCAGCTCCACCTCTAAAGCATATTTTGACCCGCTACGTAATTAGACACAATTCCACAAACAGGAATTATGTAAACCACCCCGCATACATTATTTTCAAAAGCCCCAGCCATTCACTGGGTACATCTTTCCACCCACATGGATCCAATTACAGAATCGGCACCCAAACTCCATGGGATGGCCAGAAAAGAAAGAAACGGGTAAGCCAAGATCACTGCAAGCACACTCCGACTTAGCTTCGTTCGGACAGGCATCACAAACTTAATCCTTAACAGACTGCTCTAAATGTCTTTATAAAAATTTCTTTATCCCCTCAAGTCTGCACCCTTATCCCACCCATATTTTCCTACAGAGCAAAATCTGTTACCTGGTGCAAAGCGCTCACCTCTTCAAAACATCCTGCTTAGAAGAAAAAGTAACACCGTCATACAAAGATGTCATAACTATATAGTAAAAAAAGCAGAGGAACTGGTCAAACCGAGTAATGCAATGAGACTGAACTGTTTCTCTTCCTGGAAGACTCATAAACCTGCCCATAAAGGCTATGCACTGGCATTTTCAAAGACACCACCCCTTTTATGGCTTGGATTATTTTTCCATGCCAGATGCACGTTTAACAGAGTAATACAAGCACTGCAGCTTCTTAATACACTCTTTTAATACTATGGCAGTTTGTAAGCTATTTCCCTCAACGTGTGACTTGTTGTTTTTAGTAAATCCGTATGAAGAAGAATCCTTCAGTGGCAGTTTGTACAGTACAATGAAGACCTGAGGTGTTAAGTATTATCGTTTGGCAGTATGGATGGTGATTACAACACGTAGCCTGAGGATATTTCACCTCCAGACCTGCTGTGTGGAATGAAGTCTGTTCCCAGCAAACTCTCTAAGGGTTTGTGTTGTGAATAGTAAAAGGGATGATACAGTATACGCAACTTCATAAAACCCACAGAAATCCATCTATGTACTACAAAACATTTAGCTTTTCATCAGGTAACTCTAATTTTGTATCCCATCTACTTGTTCAAAGAGAAAAGCTGCACAAGTGCTTCCACATAACAGGAGCTCACTAAAAGTGCCTTTGTTGGACCACACTGCGCTCAGCTTGATGGAGCAGTACAGATTCTTCTCACTGAGCACCATTCTGTTAGCAAAGACTCCTCTCATCAGTCTGCTGAGGTTCCCTAATTTCTCATCATCTTTCACCAATTATTCCACATACTTTTCAAGACAAAACCAAGAGAAAGGCTCTTTTTTTTTGTCCAAAGTGTGTTTTCACAGCAACTGGAATGGCCCCTCTTCAGTGCTTTACTATGCTATAATCCAAAATTAGGAGCCTGTAACAAACAACAGCCATCAGAGACGCCAGTGTAGTATATCGCTGTCCTGCAAGTCTAGTATTTTCGAAAATCCTAAGCTTTTTGCATTTTTCAAGGTAATTTTTACAACGTTGCTTACATTCAGTCCTAATCTGTTGCTTATAAATACAACGCAACAGTGCCTTACAACGATGAATCCCATCAGTTCAATCAAATCACAAAACAAGTGGCAAATGACGAAGTATACTTTAAAAAGTTATGTCTTCTGCACATTTACAGATTAGAAGAGAATATCTTTTGACCAAGAAAGAAGAAAAAAGCTCATATATCAGAGGAAAATAATCTAAACTTCAATCACATCTAAAGCTCCGTTAGCAGGTTTGTCGTACGATCCTTTTGAATTTCTTGTACACTCAGCAACTAGATCTGATAGTAAACATCAAACCGGGAAGGCAGCTTTTGAAAATCCAGGCTCAGCTGATACAACTCTTTTAAGTCAAGTTCAAAGTAAATTCTGAAGATGAGATAGCATACTACACCTGAGTGTTTATGACATTCAATAGGAGAAATATGCAGCTCCACACTGCAGTGTACCCCGGATACTCCTTCCTAACCCTCATCCTCTCTGCTCGGCCTCCCCCCTCCAAAATTAACAGGGCAAAATTAATAGAGCTAAGTAACTCATGACAAGTTTAAAGCAACAGCAAGGGAGTTTTACTTTGATGTGCTAGAGTAAGCAAAAATCAAGGCAAAAATGACCGTGTCCTGCTGATCAGCATTTTACACTCACTGGAAACTCCACAAAGCCCCACACATTTTGCTCGAATGGACACTGTGCAACTCCCCTGTGAGCTCTGCGCTTTCATCCACGAGCAAAACCTATTTTACCTTATTGGCATTCAAGTAATAATGCAAATCGTTACCCTGCAGGCCACTACCCGTCTCCTTAAGAGCAGATAAAGACTGAAACTCTTTAAGAGATACGACTTAAGATATCTTCCTAAAATAACACTGTTTTGCTTTTGCTGCTGATGGTAAAACTTTCACAAGTGGCAGTTTGCATGAGAGAATTATCAGAGTGTACACCAAAACGTCAGAGCTTGTTTGCCAGCACTTGATTTCCATTGTAAGTAACTTACTGTATGTGAGCTGCAACAGAAAACGTTACCTACAGACTTTTTCTGCTGGAAAATTGAAATAGAAGGTGAAAGTCACCTGTGCTGTGACACTGTAACGTACTATTAATACAGAATGACTTACAGCATATCTGCCTTATCGTGACATGCCAATGAAAGAAAAGTCGTTCTAACAATTTTCCCAAAACCATAAGAAATACTCCAACAGTGACTTGTAAATTTTCCATAGGATAATAGTCAATATTATGGGACATCATCTATTTTCACGCGCCCCTGAGCGACGATGCAACTTCGAAACAGCCAAATCTCTGCCTTTCTCTGAAAAACAAGCCAAAGCCTGACATGCGGAAGGCTGAGGGCAGCTGCCTGGAGGTGGAGGATGCTGAGTTTTATCCAAATGCCTCGTCCAGCGTTTCCCCAGCCCTGCAGCCAGCCCAAGGAGAGCAGGGATAGGGGCTGGTGTCTGAAGTCTTGGACGCTGGAACTGGTGCTGCTGGGAGAGGGAAGGGAGGAAAGTTACGGCACCAACCTCTGCATCCCGGCTCTTTCTCTGGCCAGAGGAGACCTCCAGGAAGCAGCACTTTAACAGAGCACAACTGTTTTCTAAAGACAGTATAAATTTAAGCTATGTTTCAAATCGGGACTGACTAGATCATTTCAGTAGAAATGAGGATAAAAGGAGACCTGGTAATTAAACAAAAATCCTGTTCACAGGACTACAGATGGCTTTCAAATTAGGAACAAGTATATCCCCTGACAATGTTTCAACATCGGTATGACTGTATTTTGAGTCAACACAGAGGACAGGTGATCTAGTCCTCGATCTCTTTATGTCTAAGTGCTGTAAAAACCAAGGAAAAATTAGATATTCTACCTTAACCATCTGTCAGTTTTGATAGAAGAACTGGACCATACTCTTACCTTCACAAATTCTGTCCAGTCGCTGCCGCTTGACTTTGTGTTTATCCACAAGTGCCATTCTTGACGGTATTTTGCAACTTTCTGATTCAAAAAGCAAAGAAGTCCCCGAGGAGCTTAGGAAAATTCACAGGAATTGGCGTGCATACCGCCACTGTCGATCCTGCAGAGAAACGAAAGGATTCATTAGGATTCCCATCCAGCATACCAGGTAAGACCTGCCCGTCCCCAACAGCAGAGCAGATTTCTGGAAGGACAGCTGTGAGTTTAGTGCTTCCAACCCAGGGCCAGGCTGGATGGGGCTTTGAAAAACCCGGACTAGTGGAAGGAGTCCCTTCCCTTGGCAGGGAGATTGGAATTACATGATCTTTAAGGTCCCTTCCAACTCAAACCATTCTATGATTCTATGATTTTAACCCCAGTGTCCCACCGGTCACACATCTTACACCCCAAGTCAAGCTTACAGCCCCTTTATCTTCCCCGTGCTCAGAAAAAACAGCATTGTACACAAGAACTGCCGAAGCGCTGCATGGCCTTCCCCGTTTTATTTCTGTCTTAAAAATCTATTCCTAGCAGATAAAGTCCATTAAGCTATTTTGTAGGCTCACAAACACTGAAAGATTATTAGAGAGTATATAAAAAAGGGAAAGTAGCTCTTGCTCTTCCAGTACTTTCACACACATACACACACACAAACCACTTTCATGTCTTATTTAAGCCTTACCCCCTAAAAGTCATCAATGGACCTTGAATTTGCAACCAGGCCTTGATACATATTCCAGCTGTCACCATAGCCTGTCTTTACCTTCATACTTGAAGGGTAAACATTAAACTTTGGGTGCCAGAGCTGTCGTTTCTAGCACGCACACTTTTAAATGCCGATGAAATAAAGCTATCCATGAAGCGGTATGTGGGGCTGATTTCTAAGAAAAGCTCTGCAAAGGGACAACAGCTGAAGGCTCTTCTGCATTTTGGTGGCACAGAGGAAGACCCTACATGGATCCTCTCTGGTGTCATGCTTTTGTTCCTACAGAGAGTGAAAGGTTTGTTTCCTCAATCCCTCAACGCTCCGACCTGAGCTCAGGCTGCAGACCCTGAAGGTCCCATTGTGGCACTTTTACCCAACAGCTTCACTGTAAAATCCAGGTATGAGCTCTTCAAGGCAAGTTCCACAACGGTATTTCTGAAGCAAGATTTACAATTAGAGACCTCATGCTGACAACTGAATTCAAACAATTCAACACTACACACCCTACTTTTTTACCAAGTTATGCTATGCTACCAGTGATTCAATATACTCTTTTATATTTTAAGGTGAAGACAGATGACCCCGACACCAGCTACAAACCCTCCAGGGACGCATCCTGCTTAAGAGGTTCCTGTCGTCGCCCCCAGCCCTCCCCCCCCCCCTTTTTTAAGCCCACTTAAAGGCACCAAAAGAGCAGAATTACAGGAAAGCTGTAATTTCCAGAAACAAAGCAAAACACCACCACGTTTTTGGAGGCCGTGCAAGGAGAGAAGGGAAGAAGGAGACAGGCACTAGCACAAGCACAGCAAGAAATCCTCTCCTGAGCAGCCATCTGCATCGCGCTGCAAAGTCTCAATCACACTGCCTACAAAGCACTGGAAAGAGTTAAAAAACCCCCAAACATTCTGAAAAGCCAGGAATAACCACAAACTTGGTTCAAACTGACCCCCCCAAACAGCTCCTCTGGGGCAGGTGAATTTTCACACCGCATTACTTGCAAACAAAATTTTCACAACAAACTAAAAAACCACCAGGTTCACGTAATATAGGACGCAGGAGAACAAGACACCGGGAATCAGAAAACTCCAGGCTGATGTCCAAAAGTTGACCTTGGGCAACGTCTGTAACCTCGACTTCTCCCTTCCCTTCTGTAGAGCCGCGACAGCAACACTTAACTCATCCTCTCGAAACACTTCAGGTTCTTCATATTCCCGTAGTCCGGTCAGGCGTTTCTACCTTGCATTTTATTCCTCTGCAACAGCTTACGGCTCTCCTAAAACCACGCCAGTGAAGCAATACCTTCCCAGAAAACTCAGTTAACAAACGCAATAGGCGAGGCTGAGCGTGTGAGGGATAAAGGCTCTAACAAAGCCGCTGCATACCGAGATGACAATTTCATGGAGATTATTGTTATTATTATAAATGGTTATCAATTATGCATCACATTGATAGTTAATTTATAAAAGGAAAAGGGTTGTGTTGGTACAACTGAATTCTGACTAAGGGAAGATAGGCGATTTCCTGGTAGTTAATGGCCAATTTCCCAGCAGCACAACTGCAGCATAATCTTTGAGATTTATAGCAATAATTAATTGATTTTTTTTTAAACATAGGGATGCTAAAGAGCACGATTCCCACTCACATTAATAATTAATGCAACATTCTAAAAGAAGCAGAAAACTTCCATTCCAGAGGCAGAAGCTTGCTACAGTCAAGCTATTTCTTACAACAAAAATTAAGCTGTTAGTGTAGCTAAAGCCAGAGTAGCTAACAGCATTTCCATGAACAACGTTTAAAAGTATAGACATGAATTTTTACCTGTATAACATCCCACTCCACTTTCAGGGAGAAACACCGGGTTATAAAAAAGTCACGTCAGGAGAAAATAAGTTAGTATTTTGTTCTGAAAATGCTCAAATGGTTCATTATGTCGGGGCTGCAACTCTTACCCCCTTTTTTTCCCCAAACAAAATCAATAGGCAAAGTGTATTTAATTTTGACAGAGTGCATCTTCTGATGGACAAATGTTTCCATTAAAGTTCTTTTCTCCTGCCATCTCAATTCCCTGCATTACTCCCTGGGGGAAAACTTTCTACAAAAGAAACTAATAACAATCAGAGAAATTACTGCTCATATTATCAGAATCCAACACAGCTTAATGTAATGCCCATGAATGAACTCTTTCCTGATGATGTTAACTATTCCATCTTTGTCTGACAGGTGTCCATGATGATATCAATCAGCAATAAAAGCCCAACTCAGAAGACTTATTAGAAATGTGGCAGGAGCTGCTGAGCAGGATTTGGCAGGGATGGACAAAATGGAGAAAAGCAGATGTGCAGGGCACAGAAACAAGCGGATACTCCTCAGCCTTCGCATGAAGCTGTAATTAAGAAAGCAGTTCTTCCATTTGTGGGATGGAGAACGCAATTAGTTGCGCACCCAACTTCAATCTATTCTCAATGATTTCTCCATCCAACGCAATCTCAAAACAATCGCAAGGCTAAATGTCCGCCACAATAAAATAAATACAATCAGGCTAGGCAGAACAAAAATCATGGTCAGCAATTAAAATACAAGAAAACCTCATTGTGTAAGGAAATTTGAGAGAAAGAGGCGCAGGCACAAAAATTGTACTTCATCTTCAGCAAGATTAGGAAACAAGTGAAGTGATTTACATACAGTAATTGCATGGCCATGTTAGCCTCCAACAGTGTCTTTCAAAATGTAAATTTTCTTGAAAACCCTCGGACACGATGATAGCCCAGCAGTTATTTATTTATTTAAAGAAGGAACGTACTTAAACACAGTGTTTTAGGAAAAAACCAATCCTGACGTAACACATTTAAATAGCTTCTTAATACTGCCCGTTAAATACCACAATCCATGAGCCAGAAAATGAGAGCAGAGAATGCTGTATTAGGGCTTGATTTTCCCACTTTAGATGGAAAACGAAAAGAAAAGGTGATTTTCCAAAATAAAATGCACTGTTAGACAAAAATAAGAGCAAATTGACTTTACAAGGAATGTGTCAGCTTCTGAGCTCTCTCTCAACTAGCACTGTTTTATCACCTTTTCATGGCATGCGTAGGTAGCACAGGAGCACAAACATGGGCAACATCTATTTTACAGCACCCATCACAGGCAGTACCATCAAACACGGTGGCACCCAGCAGGTGACTAAGAGCCACCGCTCTGTACAAACCACATCTCACATGTTCCCTCTCTGTGCACAGCCCCGGGAAAGCGCAACGGTGTTCCCCACACACCGTTTTGCGCCGAGCTGACGCCGATGCAAGCGCACAGCCCCACTGCAGCGCCGCAGGCTATGGTAAAAGCATCATGAAACGTCAGCTGTGAGTCCCCCCCAAAATGCAGCTCATGGGCTAGGATGCAATAAAACCGCGATTGCTGCCTTTCGAGGTGTGAACAAACAAGTGGTACAAACACACCACTTCTGCCAATGAATACACGGTCATAGGTTAAGTGTGACTCCTCTTTAACTTCAAATACAAGCATCTTTCTAGACAAAAAGCACATGTACACTCCCAGATCCTCAGTGGAGTCAGAAATCTGTTGCTCACAATTTCCGACTACGTTTTCTACCCGTTATGAAATATGGCATCAACAAAATGGAGATTCCCTAGTACAGGAAACTCTTAGCTCCACGAACTGCAAAAGCTCCCATTTCCAAACGGCAAAGGAAAATTTCTGTCCTTCCTCACATCTAAACCCGGTTCCCACACGTACAGCTCCTTACTTAAACAAGGGAAAATTCAGTCCAAATGTCTTGATGATACCGTTGGACTTTTCCTAGGCTGTCGGCAAAGGAGAGGTTCCTGGAGAAGGTTTTGTACTTGTAATTACGGCAGAATATTGGTCCTCTCAGCTGGAAGCAGACCAGGATGCCCAAGTGGTCCATAATCGTGAGGTCAGTATCTGCCGATGCCAAGGGCAACCCTCCCTGCAGCCTCCTTCATATTAATGTCCAGTTTTCCAAAGCTCAGTCACACTTAAATTGAGATTTCAATGCAAGAACAGCCCTCAGAGCTGTGAACTGTTTACGCCGTGCGTTAGCATCACCAGGTGCTAACTATTCTGAACTAGCTGCCCGTTTCCAGGGCTGATCATTTCAGATGTCGGCAGCTGCCGTGGGGAGGGCAGGAGGGGCTGAGAAGCAGAGTTCAGCGCAAGAAAGGAAACGCGGAGAAAAGAAAGAAGGAAACACACAGAGATAATGACAGGGGAGGGAAGCGGACAAAGGAGACGGCACAATGCAGGAGGAACACTTTGTGAACACTGTGTCATCCTTCCTCCCTACGCCAGCAGCACATCCTTAAGTGGGATGCCCTGCTCAGCCCCCACCACCTTCTCTCTCTAAAGCCCT